CGAAGTTTTATGTTCCTTAAAAGAGGGGCCATAACATAGAATTACCATGTAATCCAGCAATTCCACTTTTGAGAATATACACCCCCAAAAAAGCGGGAATTCAGAGGTATTTGTATACCCACGTTCATAGCTGTATTACAATAGCCAAAAGGTGGGGAAAACCCAACCGTCCACCAAGAGATGAATGGATAAACAAAATGTGGTATACACACACAACGGAATATTATTCAGTCTTAAAAAGCACCTTTTTTTTTTTTTTTTTTGAGACGGAGTCTTTCCTCTTGTTGCCAAAGGCGAGTGCAGTGGCCGCAAATCTTGCTCACGGAAACCTCCGCTCTCCAGGGGTCCCCTGCCTTCACCCCTCCCGAGCAGCTGAAATTTTACAGGCGTGGCGCCACCACGCCGGACTAATTTTGTATTTTTAGTAGACACGGGCTCACGCTGTAATTCCCATGCAACTTTGGGAAGCTGAGGTGTGGCGGATCCACTAGAGGCCAGGACGTTCGAAAACCACTAGCCAACATGTGCAAACCTGTCTCTACTAAAGGTACAAAAAATTAGCCGGCGTGGCTGGCGGGTGCCTGTAATCCAGCTACTCGGGAACGCTGAGGCGGAAGAATGGCTTGAAGCCTGGGAGGCGGAAACTTTGCAGTGAGCTTTGAGATCACGCCACTGCCACTCCAGCCTGGGGCAGAGCTAGAAGCCCTATCTCAAAAAAAAAAAGAAAAAAGGTAAATTTTACTTTATGTATATTCAACCACACACAAAAGTGCAGCCATTAAGTTTCAAGTATCTTAATAGGACAAATCAAAGGCAATCTTTGGAATACACTATCTTCATTTTTCCTTTATGCCAAGACGTGTACGTAAGTTACAAAACAAACATTCACCTTTATCTGTATTGAGTTCTTGCAGTATGTATATGACCCGTTGGAAAGCATACTTTTTCCCAAACTGTCAATCATTAAAGGGTGCAGTTCTAAAAGTACACATAAAAATGCCTTTTCCCAAATATTCATTTATTTATATTTTTACGTTCCTATTTTGTGTATCACCTAAGAGGGTATGCCTTACGGTTAAGAATGTGCTCTGGTGCTAGAAGGATTTATCACGAATGTCCCAGAGTAACTCTGGGGCATTACCACTTGGCACCTTCTTCCTAACAGGGAATCTCAGATTAAGGGAAAAACTTGCCCTCTCATAAAAGGAGGAAGAGATAAAAAAGGATAAAAGGAGAAAGTGAGTCAGAAAACGTGACAATTATTACAGTTATTTCTGTCATAACTTATTCTATGTACACATTTTTTAAAAAATGAAGGGGGAGAGAACTCAAGGAAGTTTCCAAATCCACATGCTTTTATCTGTGTACGCGATGATAAACACATTAGTGCACGTGGAAAAATCCCTCCTTTTGTATTCTTTACACCACTGACCTTTGAGTGTTCCCAACAGAAAGCTGTTCATGCTTGGAGTTCGGCCGAAGTAGCAGTTGTTGTTTTTACAGGACTTGCTCTCCTTTCTGGTTTCTCCCCATTCTCTTTATTGGTGCGCAGTAAAATAACTTACCAACCCGCTTCTATTCACTTCTGTCCCTGCCCTGCCTGACCCACCGGGCAAGTTCCCTCGCCTCTCCCGCCCACATACTGGAAGGTGCAGTGCCCAGGGCGCACAGCTCCCGGATGGCAATGGGACTCGTGCAGAGGGCAATCCCCGCTACTACGCGGAGGCGTTTCTGGAAGTTACCGTCAGCCTAGGTGCCAGCAGCGGCCGTGGAACGCGCCCCCGGGGGAGAGAGGGCATTAGATAAAGGTGCTTTGGCCACGCCGAGGCCTCCTCCGCCCCCGACCTCCGTTCCCACACGCCCTGCCCCACGGCGACTTTCGCCGGTGCCCGGTATTCACCTACGGCATTCCCGGCGGCAGCCCTCAGCGCCCGCGCCATTTTGGAAAGCAACCCGCCACGTCCAGACCCGCAGAGGACGGTGAGAGACGCGCAGCAGAGGACAGGGCGGGAGGCAGAGGGGGCGGGGACAGACAGGTTAGGGGCGCGGCGAAGGGCGCTGCTTTCCTGCTTCAACACGCCTACTTTAGCTAAAACAGAAACTTAAAGCCAGGACGGGTCACCCTTTGTGGGCCCCTGAAAAATACAAAACGAAGTTTCGAGAGAGTTCAAAGGCGTTTGGACCGACCATGGCGATTTTAGATTTCCGGGCCCCTGCAGAAGCGAAAGCGCTCGCGGTGCCATTGGCTCTGGCTGAGGGCGAGTCCGGAACCTGTGCGCAGCGGAACTTTCGGCTCTGACATCCACGTTGCGCTACGCGCCTGTTTGCCGAGCGGTTTCCGGGCGGCTCCCTTCCCTTGCATGCGGCATTGTGTCGGGAGTTGCTGACAGCCATGGCCCCGCGGGTCTGGCGTCGACGGACCCTGGAGCGGTGTCTGGCAGAAGTCGGCAAAGCCACGGGTCGGCCCGAGTGCTTCCTCACGTAAGTGCGCAGATCCCGGGCTCGGGGTGCGACCGGGGTCTCACGTGGACGCGGGTTGCAAATTGTGGAGCTGGGGTAAGGTAAGGGGAAATATAAATCACTTTTCCCCAAATTTCGGAGTCTGTACTTTCCTAGGCTATCAAAATTTTAAAAATTGTTAACATTTATATAGATGGATCTCTCAGTTGAGTGTTACTGAAATCACCTTAACCTCAGTTATTAACGGCTAGAAGCTTCCCTTGGGCTTCTGACGTCCGCATCCCTCTACACACAAACTGTTGGTTTCTCCTTCCTCCAATGTGCTCCTAAAGCACTCAGTGCTTAGCATACTTTATTGAAAGTACGAACTTGTCACTTGTCTGTCCAGCCCCCACAACTAAGCTTCTTGAGAATTAGAACTTTCATGTCTCTTCCTAGCACAAGCGTTTTATATGTATTTTGTTGAAGAATTTAAAATACGATCTATGAAATTATTACTCATTTATATTTCAAACCCCGGCTCACAGCAACTACAGATTTTGCTTAGTTTGAATTCAGTAGCACACAACTGGGATATCCGCACTGTGCAACTTTTAACGATTTTTAAAATTTTGGTACTGTCAAGCATCTCAAATTCACTGCGTCCAAAATAGAGCTGTTGTTTCTGTTTAATAGAATTGTTGTTTCTGCCCACCCATACTCTGCCATCCCCTGAAGTCCTTTTCCCATGCTCACCTGTCAAGCACGTCCGTGTGAAGAGACCACTAAAACAGGCTTTGTGTGAGCAACAAGGCTGTTTATTCACTTGGGTGCATGTGGGCTGAGTCCGAAAACAGAGCGAACGGTGATGGGGAAGAGGTTGCTTTATAGGAGTTGGGTAGGTAATGGAAAATTACAGTAAAAGGTGGTTATCTGTTGTTAGCAGAGGAGGAGGTCTCCTCTGCTAAGGTACATGGTGGGGAGATCATAAGACTTACTGTCCAGAAGAAGAATATCACAAGGTCCATTGATCAGTTAAGGTAGGGCAGGGACAAGTCACAATGGAGGAATGTTGTAATCTTGGTTAATCAGTTAAGGCAGGAACTGACTGTTTTACTTCTTTAGTGGTTTTTCCGCTGCCCCAGACTTCTTGGCTCCTGCGGGCCACCTGGACGTATATGTGCAGGTCGCAGGGGTTACAATGGCTGAGCTTGGGCTCAGAGGCCTGACACCACCACGCAAGCCTTCCCTATCTCAGTAAATGGCACTTCTGTCTTTCCAGTTTCTCAAACATGAAAGTAGGCTGCTACTTTATTGTCTTCGTTTTTCTCTATTCTATATCTAATTCCTTAGCAGTCCTGTCAGTTCTACCTCCAAACTAAGCATATTCACTGCTTTAACTCCAGTTTACATCACCATTATCCTTTGCCTGGAATGCTGTATCAATCAACCTTCTAATCACTGTACTTTTCCTCCTCCTCCCTCCTCCCTTTCTTCTTCCTTCATTTTAGAACATGTAATGAGCTTTTTTTTTTTTTTTTTTTTTTTTTTTTTTTTTTGAGACAGAGTCTCGCTCTGCCGCCCAGGCTGGAGTGCAGTGGCCAGATCTCAGCTCACTGCAAGCTCCGCCTCCCGGGTTCACGCCATTCTCCTGCCTCAGCCTCCGAGTAGCTGGGACTACAGGCGCCCGCCACCACGCCCGGCTAGTTTTTGTAATTTTTAGTAGAGACGGGGTTTCACCGGGTTAGCCAGGATGGTCTCGATCTCCTGACCTTGTGATCCGCCCGTCTCGGCCTCCCAAAGTGCTGGGATTACAGGCTTGAGCCACCGCGCCCGGCCTAAAATGTTGTCTCTTTACACTTTAAATGACAAACTCTTACTCCTGAGCCACGCGTAATTTGGCTCCCATCAGTCTCTCCAGCTTCACCTTCTGCCTCCTTCACACTTTAGCCGTGCTTACCTTTTTGTTCCTCAAACTCACCTCTAGAGGATTTGCATCTTAGAGGATTTCTTCTGCCTGGAATACATGTTTCCCAATCTTTATAAGACTATCTCCTTATCTACAGCTTTCCCCTCAGATGTGGCATCTAAGAGAGGTTTTCCTTGACCACTGTAGCCAAAGCAAATGTTGATCATTGAATGAATAAGTGAATAAATGAATGGAGTTGTATATAATGTAGCAGAATTGATCATTTAAGGCTAATTTACTACATATCTCCAAGCAAATAAATTTGTGATGGTTTTCCTGCCTAAAATCTATACAGCTGATTCACAGATACTTGGTTGACAGGTTTTATATATCAATGTAGGTCATCAGCTTATATGTTGTTGGGGGCCAGAATCTATACTTACACTTCATTCAAATTTGATTTTACAAAAGAGTTGGGTTTTTAAATTTTATTAAGAGTGCTGTGAAATTATTACCTATAATTCTAAATCTCAATTCCTCCCAATAGGATTCAAGATGGATTGGCATCAAAGTTCACTTCTTTAACAAAAGTGCTTTATGACTTTAATAAAATATTAGAGAATGGTAGGATCCATGGAAGCCGCTTGCAAAAACTTGTGATAGAAAATTTTGATGATGAGCAGATTTGGCAACAACTGGAATTGCAAAATGAACCAATTTTACAATACTTTCAGAATGCAGTTAGTGAAACAATTAATGATGAAGACATCAGTCTTCTCCCAGAGAGTGAAGAACAGGAACGTGAAGAGGATGGTTCAGAGATAGAGGCTGATGACCAGGAGGACCTAGAAGATTTAGAAGAGGAGGAAGAAGTGTCAGACGTGGGTGATGATGATCCTGAAGTGGGTGAGAGAACTAAAAACTCGAGCAAATCTGGTCTGAGGAAAAGCCCAGTTTTCAGTGATGAGGATTCTGACCTTGACTTTGATATCAGCAAATTGGAACAGCAGAGCAAGGTGCAACACAAAGGACATGGGAAACCTAGAGAAAAGTCCGTAGTAGATGATAAATTCTTCAAACTCTCCGAAATGGAGGCCTATTTAGAAAACATAGAAAAAGAAGAGGAACGAAAAGATGATGATGATGAGGAGGAAGATATTGATTTTTTTGAAGATATTGATTCTGATGAAGATGAAGGGGGACTGTTTGGAAGTAAAAAACTTAAGGTAAAGTTTTGAGAGAGGAGAGAACACTTTCCTCCTCAAATTAGCTTTCGTTCTCTTTTTCTAGGGGAGATTGAATTGTAGTTAGAAGTTTTAGTGATAAGAAATATTGTGCTCTATCTTATCAGTTACAAATGAATCTTCTTCCGTTCAATTTATGTTCCAGTTGGTCTTATAGTTTTGTGGTAGTGTTATTAGTTGCCATTTTCATCTAATCACTATTTAGTTATTAGTTTAGTTATTAGTTATTAGCTCATAGTGTTACTAAGTCAGAAAGTAATATATACATACAAATCTATGTGCACGTGTTAATATATTTTTCTATTCCTAATTAATAGTTTTTAAAATCTTTTTAGTCAGGTAAAAGTTCCAGAAATCTGAAATACGAAGATTTTTTTGATCCAGTTGAAAGTGATGAAGACACAACAAGTGTTCATGATGATGAGCTGGATTCAAACAAAGATGATGATGAAATTGCTGAAGAGGAAGCAGAAGAACTAAATATTTCGGAAACGTGAGTATTTTGAACCATCCTTTATATTGTAGGCTGGAATTGCCCAATCATGTATGTGTACTCGTAGTTATCAAATGTGTCTGTCTTAAGAAGTTGGATTCTCTAATATCAGATATTCTCAAGATAGCCAGAGGAAAGTCTCTGAATGTAAAGGGACATTAGATATCACTTAATGAAGAAAAATATCACTGGTAGTAGCAATCAAACCTTCCTTACCAGGAACATTGATTTGGTTTTGTGTCAATAAAATCCTGTTATTTTTGTGAGATAAGAGATTTGTATTGTAGATTGATGAATAATTTATTTTATATATGTTGGACACTTTTTGTTCTGTTTCTTTTTTTTTTTTTTTGAGACGGAGTCTTGCTCTGTCACCCAGGCTGGAGTGCAGTGGCGCAATCTCCACTCACTGCAAGCTCCGCCTCCCGGGTTCACGCCATTCTCCTGCCTCAGCCTCCCGTGTAGCTGGGACTATAGACGCCCGCCATCACGCCTGGCTAATTTTTTTTTTTTGTAGTTTTGGTAGAGACGGGGTTTCACTGTGTTGGCCAGGATGGTCTCGATCTCCTGACCTCGTGATCTGCCCATCTCGGCCTCCCTGTTCTGTTTCCTACATAGCATTTTACCTAAATAATACCTTTTGTTCCTTAATAACTGAATGATTTTGGAAGTTCTGAGTATTTGGTTGCGTTAGGTATATAAAAGAAGAACTTTATTAAGGGAAAATTTGTTTCCTTTTGTTTTTCTAATGGAAAGTAGCATATTTTTTTTGGTAAGAGTTTTGGTATTGTAGGGATGAAGATGATGACCTTGAAGAAAATGAAGACGATAAACAACATAAAGAAAGCTTGAAAAGAGTGACCTTTGCTTTACCAGATGACGAGGAAACTGAAGATACAGGTGTTTTAAATGTAAAGAAAAATTCTGATGAAGTTAAATCCTCTTTTGAAAAAAGGCAGGAAAAGGTAATTAGTAATTTATGGAATTTTTAATATACTTGACATTAACCATCCTTTGAAAACTATTAACCATCCTTTGAAAACAGATATCTTGGCCAGGTGCAGTGGCTCACGCCTGTAATCCTAGCACTTTGGCAGTCCGAAGCAAGAGGATCGCTTGAGCTCAGGAGTTCAGAACCAGCGTAGGCAACATAGTGAGACCTTGTCTCTACCAAAAATACAAAAATTATCTGGGCATGGTGATGTGTACCTGTAGTCCAGCTACTCTGGTGGCTGAGGCGGGAGGATCACTTGAGCCTAGGAGGTTGATGCTGTGGTGAGCTATGATTGCATCACTGCTCTCTAGACTGGGCGGCAGAGCAAGACCTTGTCTTAAAACAAACAAAAAACCAAAAATCTTCCCATATGGAAAGCATCTGATGAGCAAAAGTCAGTGCCTGCATTTCAATTTGGGGCCTGTGAGTAAAATAGTTGCTTCTGCTGGGCGCAATGGCTCACACCTGTAATCCCAGCACTTTGGGAGGCTGAGGCAGGTGGATCACTTCAGTTCAGGAGTTCAAGACCAGCCTGGGCAACATAGTAAGACTCTGTCTCTAGAAAAAAAAAAAAAAAAGAAGAAGAATTCCTGCTGGGCGCAATGGCTCACGCCTGTAATCATAGCAATTTTGGAGGCAGAGGCAGGCAGATTGCCTGAGCTCAGAAGGTCCAAACCAGCCTGGGCAACATGGAGAAACCCCGTATCTACTAAAAATACAAAAAATTAGCCAGTCTTGGTGACGGGCGCCTGTAATCTCAGCTACTCAGGAGGCTGAGGCAGCAGAATCAGTTGAACGCGGGAGGTGGAGGTTGCAGTGAGCTGAGATCGTGCCACTGCACTCCAGCCTGGGCGACACAGCAAGACTCTGTCTCAAAAAAAAACAAAAACAAAACAAAACAAAAATTCCTATGTCTTTCTATCAAACCTTTTGAATTGAGCTGCTGCTGCTGACCAAGTAGGAAAGGGAATGGGGTTTGAATGTTTTTCTGCTTACTCTTTGATGGAGGAGCTAAAATGGCAAAATCAAGAGTAAGATTCTGATGTGCAGCTGATTGGAAGGCAGGAGACACATGCCCTGACCTCAACTTTGCTTCTTGACCAGCTTGGTTTCCCATCTGTACAAGGAGATCATTAAAGTGCATCAGTGATTTCCAAATTACATTTTGAATATCAGAAAGGAACTCCTGAGAGATAATTTAGGGTCGACAGGCGTTCAACAAAAATAGCACGTTTTTAAAATGTTTTTGGGCCAAGCACGGTGGCTCACAC